TATTTTTTAGTTTTCAAATTCATCTTTAATAATTAAATGAATCTTTATTTATGTAGCAGCACTATGGATTCAATGGACTATGAATCTGGAGGTGTGAATGAAGGTGATGATCAACAAAGAGAGTCAAGAGACACCACAAATGATAGTTCTGAACCGATATCTTCTCAAGGAGATGTAAGTGATGAATTAGGCACTAAAAGAGCTCTTACTTCAATTGTGTGGAATGATTTTGACATAATTAGAAAGGGAAAAGATAATAAACTCAGGGCTAGTTGCAGGCATTGCAAAAATATTTATGTAGTTGGGTCACAAAAGTATGGAACATCTACCCTAAAACGTCATCTTGATAGGTGCAAAGAAAAGCCATTATATGGGGATGTGGGTGGGATGCTAATTGATCATGAAGGAAAGTTAAGAGCCAGAAAAATTGATGATGATGTTGTTCGGGAAAAAACAACCATGGCCATAATCGAGCATGATCTGCCTTTTTCTTTTGTTGAGTATAAGAGGGTCAGGGAATTGCTTTTGTATTTAAATCCAGATTACAAGTGCATCAGTAGAAATACTGCTGCCTCTGATGTTGTTAAGTTTTATGGGAAAAGAAAAGAAGCTTTGAGGTTAGATTTGTCTAAAATTCCCAGTAGGATTTGCTTAACCTCTGATGTGTGGACTGCTATATCAAATGAGGGATATATATGCTTAACGGCTCATTATGTTGATGAGCATTGGAAACTGAATAATAAGATATTGTCTTTTTGTTCAATGCCCCCTCCACATTCAGGTAGAGAGTTGTCTAAGAAGCTTTTTGATTGTTTAAAGGAGTGGGGGATAGAGAAGAAAATATTTTCTCTTACATTAGATAATGCTTCTGCAAATGATAGTATGCAAGACATATTGAAAGAACAACTTTGTTTGCACAATAGTTTATTGTGCAATGGTGAATTCTTTCATATTAGATGTAGTGCACATATATTGAATCTCATAGTTCAAGATGGACTGAAAGTGGCTAACAATGTCTTGCTCAAAATTCGAGAGAGTGTGAAATATGTTAAAGCGTCAGAGAGGAGGGAAATGATATTTGATGAATGTGTTAAGGAAGTTGGTGTTGAAAGTGGAGGTGGTTTGCGTTTGGATGTACCTACTCGATGGAATTCCACGTATGAAATGCTTGAGAGCGCTATTAGGCATCAACGTGCATTTAGTAGCTTAAAACTTAATGATCCGAATTATAAGTGTTTTCCTTCTCCTGATGAATGGAAAAGAGGTCAAAGAATTTGTGAATTGTTGGAGCCATTTTATGAAATTACCAAATTGTTTTCAGGATCAAGTTATCCTACTTCAAATTTGTATTTCATGCATGTTTGGAAGATCGAATGTTTGCTGAAAAAGAATATTATTTCCGATGATCAAAAAATCAAACATATGGCATGTGATATGTTGGTAAAGTTTTCCAAATATTGGGATCAATATAGCACCATCCTTGCAATGGGGGCTGTTTTGGATCCCAGAATGAAGTTTGAGTTGTTAGAACATTGTTTTAACAAACTGGATCCGAACACTTGTCAAGATAAGTTAATTCATGTGAAAGAAAAGCTGTAATTTCTCTTTGAACAATACAAGAGAAAATCTGTGCCTGCTACTTCTTCGAATGCAACTCAACCTGCGCAAGAAAGTGTCTCAACACAACAAGGCAAATGCTTTTCTATTTTCAATGTAAGTTTAATATTATTTTTATTATTTTACTGATAGTGTTATAGTTTTATTCTTTTATAATAATTTCTTCTTTTGTGAAATGGCTCAGGAAATTCTTGCATTTGAGAGCCAGAATATAGTTGATAATGGCAAATCATCTTTGGATATGTACTTGGAAGAAGGGAGGTCTGAGATGAAATACTTTTATGATATGGATGTTTTGCAATATTGGAATGATCGTAAAATGCGATATGGTGACTTAGCATTGATGGCATGTGATGTGCTTAGTATTCCTATCACGACAGTGGCATCAGAGTCAGCTTTTAGCATTGGTTCTCGTGTTTTGACTAAGTGCAGAAGTTGTATTCTTCCTGCACGTGTCCAAGCATTGTTGTGCACTCGTAATTGGTTAAAGGGCTATGAAGTTCATGAGGATGGTAATTTATTTTAATATCTTTTTGTGATTTTATTCTTTCTGATTATGCAAGTGTTGGATTTAAATTGGTTAATTTTGCTATGTATAGATGACGGGAGCATTGGAGATGATTTAGATTCACAACCTGAGTATGCATTTCTTCTCTTAGCTCTTATTTTAATTGAGTTTTTCCCTCCCAGAAACTGTCCATTTGTAATGTGTTAGTTCATGCATGAAACTGTCCATTGATTGAGTTTTTTCCTCCCAGAATCTGTCTTATTGTTTCTTATTTTATAAATTGGAGATGGTTTAGATTCACAAACTGTCCATAGATATTATTAATTTAATAAAACATCTATAAAAAATTCTATGTTTAGATGTTCAATTCTCCATTCCCGCATTAATTTGAACTATAATATCTACCAAAAATATTATTAATTTTCATTTATTATTTTAAATTGGTTAATTTACTATGTACAGATGATGGAGTCATTGGAGAAGGTTTAGGTCCACAGCTTGCTGGAAACTTATATGGAGATGGACCAATTATTAAGAAAAGCAGTTGGAGATGGATTAGTTGCTTATAAAAGCAAGACTACAAGAGTGATGTGATTTTATAATTTTTATTGTAATGCAAAGTTATGATGTTTTGTTTGAAGTTTATTTAGACAATTTGGATGTGTTTTTGCATTTTGATTTCGACAATGGTTTTTGGACTTATGAAGAAGTTATCTATTTAAACATATTAGATTTTATTGGAATTAGATTAGATAGTTTAATTTTTAATACAAATTTGGCCCGCTGTTTGGCCCGTGAAACCCACTTAATAGGTTGGCCCGTTAAACTCACTAAATGGGCTGATCCGTGGGCTGACTCGTTTAACCCGCGGGTTAAGTGGGTCGGGTTAGGGTTGTAGAAATCCTGACCCGTCATTAAACGGGTTGGCCCGACCCAACCCACTTCAAACATAACCCGTCACGGGTCGGGCCGGGTCGGGCCGGGTCAGCCCGTTTGACAGCTCTAATCCCGGTCTTCGGGTCCTTCTGCGTATAAAAATTATATGCGATAATGGCATATTGACTTTCCATCTTAAAATGGTAGATATAATAATTCTATAAATACTAGAATAGATGGAGATGAAGATGGAGAATGGAGATTGGAGATTGGATATTGAAGAAGATGTGTATAAAAATGTTAGAAAATAGGAGTATTTTTAGAAATTTTTGTACCCCCAACCCCCAACCCCAACCCCACCAACGGTTATATAGCTGTTTGGGGCCTTGAGGCTTGAGCCTTTGATTTCAAATTTTTTTTGTTTATTTTAGTTTGAAATTTTTGAATAAATTACATAATGTAAAATTAATTAATTTTAGAAGTGCTACATATAAAAAATGAACGTATATTTATTCGAAATATGAACTACAAGTTTACAGGTTACAATTGAGAATTGAAGGAAAAATTAAAACATGAAATACTAATCAATCGGAATCTCCGGCATAGGTAGAGCCATCTTCGGTTGTTTATTCATCCATAAAGTGTTGGGATGGGATGATGCCAATTTCTTGAGCTCTACGGGCCGCCTTCAACCAATCATGGTGGCATATAAGTGTCTCAAGAGATTCTGCGTTCAACCTCGTTCTAGATTGCGTTAGGACATTGCCGACCGAACTAAATTCTTGTTCCACGTCAACTGTTGAAACCGGCATTGATAGCACTTTCTTAGCCATCTTTGCTAAAACTGGGAACATTCTTTCTTTTCCCTTCCACCAGTTTAGAACGTCAAAATCATCATCTTCTTCAAAATCAACATCATATGTTAAATACAAAGAAATCTCATTAATTGTGTTTTGCTGAGTAGCGGGAGTTGTTTTTGTTTTTTTTAATAAGATTGGCAAATGTAGATTTCAAAATTGATTTTCTTGTAGATGAAGATGTTTGTGTCAGGGGAGAAGGGGGCGCGTTGTCATATTTTTTGCATGAAACTCATTAAATAATGCATAATATCATTAACCTCGTTGTATTCTTTTTCGGATCAATTGTTTTATCGTCATACATTGCAAGAAGACCAAAAAAGCGGCATAATAATAGCTCAAACATTCTTCTAAAGAACCAAGTCTAAACGAGGATCGAGAACAAATGCAATACCATATATATGCGGAATATGTAAATAATATTTTAAAAATTTTCCTTCATAAATTCAGCAAAATAACTCACATAAGCGGCATTCTCTATAACTCTATAAGCGGCATTCTCAAATTGTGCAAAAGCACCGGCATTCTCATATTCTACTCTATTTAGAGAGTAGAGAGTAGGATTTAGGAAGAATTGGAGAAGAGATATGGAAAAATGTTTAAGATTAGGAGTATTTATAGTTTTATTTTACCCCACCCCACCCCACCCCCGACCCTCCCCCACCCCCCAAACTGCCCGGACGCCCCCTGCCAGCCCACCCAACGGCTATATAGCCGTTTGGGTAGTCCCAACCAAAGCCTAACGGCTCTTTCAGCTCAAAACAAAAAAAAAATAAAAAAATGTGACCGTTGTGACCTGGACCCGGGCCCGACTCGGCCGGGACGTCAGGTCACATTTTACCGGAACCAAGCCCGCCCCCCGCTGCGCCCCGATTCGGGTCTACACCCAGGCCCAGACCACCAGAATGGACCGATTCCGGGACCGCACAGTAGCGGGCTGGGCCGGGTCACAGACCAGGTCGGGTCACGGGTTAGGTGACCCGAACCGAGTCCCCCACTAGGTGTTTTTGGCGAGTACGCGAACTTGATTGGGTGATTGGGAAATATGCCCGTACGGGACTTAATTGAGGAATTTGACAAAGTACGCAGGCCTATTTGAGAGTTTTCTCAAAAAATAATGATTATGTTTACACCATGGAGTGCATTATTATAAACACAGCAGAGAAATCAATAGTTATGCACTAGAAATCAACTTCATCATATAATACTTTGCAAAACTTGTCAATAATCGTAGATGAATAAATGAACAAATTTAGCACATCCACCATCAATCAAGCACATCTACCATCAATCAATTGTTAGCATCATCAGAGTAAAGAAAACAGCTGTGGTCCACAGCCTGTGGATGTGCAGTGCGCTAAAGAGATTAATAACACAACTGGCTGAATGTGCCTTGGTACTACACATCCAGAAAATTTGAAAGCACGTATGTGCAGTGAGCTGCATTTTAAGGCCTTCGCAGCAGTCTAAAATTCAGATAACTGCCTTTTAGATGTATATTGCTCTTTAGGAAGATCACTGTTTTGGGCTGAAGCTATATGGAGGAAAACTGCAGCCAGGAAAGTTGCTTTCGTCGATGAAGGAGTTGTATGATGGAAAATAATCTGTGAGCATTTCACACTGACCAGCATCATCATAATTTTGTGACATGAACAATGGCTTCATCAGATCATCTAACTCCATATAATTAGCATTCGTCAGGGGGGTCTCAGGACATGCAAGACTATGATTACTGGTGCCCTCTGGTGCTGGGAAATTATTATGAGGATACCCACCACCCTCTGGGGCCCAAAATCCAGGGAAACATATGCTCTCTTCTTCACAGCCATTCAAGCCTCCTAATAGGCTATTACACATATCAAAAGGGATATCAGAGAGATCCAGCCCACCCGCAGTACCATCCTGCAGAGGCATTGTGGTGTTTGCAGGATGCTCAACAGGTGCTGCTGCTGCCCAACTTCCAGAGATATTCATTATGCTCTCATCCAATCCTGCAAACAAGTCATCAAACTTCCCGTATCTATCACACATATCTTCTCTCACATTGCATTGTATCTCAGCACCTCTTGCTTGCTCCATACCACTACAATTCTGTAGACAGCAGGATGACAGAAGATACACAATCAATATTTAATGAAATACTTGCCACACAAAAACAAGCACATCAAACTTCTTAGCACAACAATCATAAAATGGTTCAAACACAAACTTAACCTTTCTAAGATCAATACTACATTCTACTTCATATCAATACATTCCAATAGATGCTCTATTTAGTAGGAGAAACAAAAACACACATTCAATGCAATGACCTAAAGGTAGATAGTTTTACTTTTTTCTAGATCACTGCTTTTGGTTTAGCTATACTACTTTTTGCTAACCCTAGTGTTGTGTTCAAATAAAGGACTACTAAGTGTCAAAGCTCCATGCAATCAGTGTATTATAACATCATAAGTAGTATTAAAAAACAGAACATAAGCAATCTGAAGCATAGTTGAGATGATGAAGTGGATGGGAGAGTGAGAGACCAACATTTGATATCTGAAGCAGTTTAACATGTTTGATGGGTATAATTGACTAATTGTGTACTATACATACAGTTGTGGCATAGCATATCAACATACAAGACCCGTCCATCTTAAAATAAAGTCTTCATTAATCACCAGCTCTTGTAAATCACCGAAGTTGAATGAAAAACTTTGTTACAAACTATATTTTGATCTCAATCCAATATAGCTTTTTGTTATACTGTGACACTTTTTGGAACAAAAGTAAGTTTTTAAAGATTACTGATTATTTTAACTTGGGGTGTGCTGTCTTGAATGCTTTTCCAAACACTTATCTGACTACTTTGGAACACTTCTTGCAATACTTTCAATAATATGGCATTTGTCTCAAGCACTCATAAAAAATCAAACAAAAGAGCAAATTTTTTGACATATCTGAAGTTTAACAACACAAAAAAGCTTATTTAGTGTCAAACAACCAACCTCGTTACTGTTGATCACAGTAGGTACCAAGCCAGTATCTTCTAGAAAAGCATTATGAGGTTGCACTTCATTGGTACTAAGTTCAGCCAGTGATAAGCCATGTTCAGCAAATGGTAAGGTCGGTTTAACCGCGCAAAATTTAGAAGTACAGTCTAGCTCGTATGCGCTAGTCACGACAGGGCAGCTTTGGCAATCAGTATGAGCATCAATTGCAGGAGATGCAGCAGAAAGATCTGTCTTACCACATGCTTCCTTGTCTTCCCAATCTTCCTCCTTAAAAACTCCATATTGTGAGCCATTCTTTGGACCAGAACCTGGCTTCTCAAAAACTTTGCAAATGACATATGTGTCCTGTAGAACCAATACATTTTTAGACTATTACAGCAGAAACATTTAGTGAAAACGTGAAATTTCAATCATAAATTATGGCAGAAATGTGTATGAATAAACACTATTGTTGGGAGCCTAAAAATAATTAAGCTTCAAAAACTACTCTCTTTGTTTGGTCTTGTTTCACAAAATATTCAGCCCTAACAAATCAGAAACTCTTAAATCACTCATAAAGGAACCTGCATGCTGAACAAATTGAAGTTGTGATTGTTCCCATTATTGTGTTTAGTAGATCAAACTTATATAAATCCAAGACTACGCACTTAACACTTTTTTATTAAAAAAACTCAAAATGCATAAATATCACACACCTTACATGTCTTGATTTCCCAATAAAAGTCTATCTTACACTTTTCACAAACACAACTTATGTGGTTTACAAAAACACGGGATAATTATACATCCACTAATGCTACTTTATTATTAAGATAGCTTAAATAAATTTGAACTTTAATCAAAGAATTTTTAATAGAATATAAATTAACACATTTGTGGACACAGACAATGTACTATATCCAAATTAAATAAGTAAAACTTATTTATCTTGTTTTGATGATGAAGACATGAATAAGCTGGCGAGCTCTCACCATAATAATGATAATAATATAAAATAAAGTAATTTGACAAGGTGTATAAAAGAAGGAATGTTAGGCAGACTACATAAAGCTCAAGGAATATTAATAAGAAAAGCCTATATATATTGTAAAGGTTGGGCGGGGGGAGTTAGGCAGGAATTGAAAATCAGATGGAGGGAAGGTCACTCTCGAATATGTCCTAATGTTCTCTTTCATGTCTGTTCTGTCATTAATGTACTATGGAGATCTGTGAGATTTGTCAGATCCTGCCTTCTTACATATAATAAAAATCCTTATGAATTAAGGATACCTATCATTTGACTAAGAGAAATCCTAGTTGGACAGCCATATTATGCAACAATAAACAACCCTTAATCACAAATTAGTGAGGTTGGCTACTTGGCTACACACGTAGATAGGAAATCAAGAATTACACAATGTTGCATATGTTATAGAAACATGTAATTACCCACTACAATTTATCAGTACAAATAGGAATATACGGAGTAATAATGTAACTTTGGATGGAATATGACATTAGGCCCATTCACTGCTCAGAGATAAAGGTTCTTTGTTGTGGGGGTACATGCAAGTGTGCAACGCAATTGAATAGAGAAGACAGTAGAATCTACCTGAACAATTCCTGAATCTACCAAAATCTGGTCCTCCATCCGGTACTCATGTATAACCCAATCTGTTCTTTTCCCTTTGGGTGGATGACCCTGGTAAAAACCCAAAGTTTTAATCATCCCAACAGTTCTTCCTTCATATTTAACAATTCTATCATTCCCTGTTGCTTTCCAGTAACCAGTGTCTGTTGCACGCTTTGTTCGTGACCCAATTGCATACTTCCTCTCTCTTTGGCAATAGAAATACCACTCCCGGTCCTTACTTTTTAATGTAGATTTATCTGAAGAAAAAAGAAACTGCAAAAGTTATAAAAATGCAAACCCCGACAACTGACAAAGACACTGGATATGTGGATATAACACTTGTAGGAGTGTACAAATTTGAATTAACAAAAGATGAAGATAAAGATATAATATTACCTGGAAGATCCCATGGAGAGTACTGACAAATATTGAGATCTGTTATAGCACGCTTCGCTTCAGCGGGAAACTTTCTTCCAGTAACCTTCCCTTTTAGATAGTACATTATCAGCTCTACATCCGTTGGATGAAAGCGAAACCCTGGAGCAAGGGTTGCGCTTGCCATTGAGTGAAGGCGGTAGAAGATTGCAGTATTGCAAAACTGAATTCCACCCACCCCCACCCACCCTCTGATCCTCAGAAAAGCAAATACCAACTGACAACGGTATTGTCTGAGATCCAGAAAAATAAAAAGAGCAAGAAAAATGATTGCACTAAGTTTGATAACAACTAGCGAACGGAAAAACTAGTTAAACAGCTTTCTCTATCTCCCTCACCTAGAAACCTCCCACGAACATTTTAAACAGCATATGTCAAGTCCAATGTCGAAATAAAATCTTCAAAGCACACCACAACTTTCCCTGGTTCATGAAAAAGAATGCAGCCCGAACAAAGAATTGATGCTTCTTCCCACAGAAATCAAAAGACATTTGTTGTACAACACCGACCTATTGTTTTCACAAGATCATTAGCCTCCATTATAGCAACATAAAACAGTCCATTTAGATATTTATATAAAACATCTTCTGCACATTCAAACGCAGCTTAAGCGCAGACAGAACAAACATTAAAATCAAATAGAACCATAAAACATTCCATACTTTTCGTTTTGCAGATCTCAAGAACGATCAAAACATCATAACATAATAAAGGCGAAGATTTTTTACATGAACTGAACACAAACAGAAAATTGGCACACGAAAGATTCTAGAGATGGAGGATAATGATTAGGGAAGCCACACAGAGAGCAGGATCAGATGATCTGAACTAAGGTCAGATTCCAAAAGTTATATTCAAAAACTGGATCCCGATCCGATTCATGAAGAGGCTAAGAGTATATGGAAGATATAACACGACACCGAATCATGAACGCTCAAAAGCTTCAGCTTACCGGAAAGAGGAACACGGGTGCGGGAGGGTGGCAAGGGATAAGACGTGGAGCGGCTGATGATCACACACAGGAGACGCTGGTGAGGTGAAAAACGAAACCCTACCACTACTGAGAGTGGGGGGTTTATATAGTGGTGTAGTTTTATGCTAAAAAAAGAAACTCGAATAGCCCGTGTGGGCTGCGGCCTGCGGGTAAGACTATTCTATGTGTTTAGTTTCAGAGGCCAAAAAGTTAAAAATGAAAATAGTGTTTACTCCTATTTCTATGCAACTTCATTATCGACAATAAAATAAACTCATCAATTTTTTACATATCAATTTAGTAAAATATTAATTAAATTATTATAAGTCATCTTTTCCTTTTTAAGTTTTTCTCTGGATAATTATGAAATAAAAAATACACATTTCCATATAAAAATGAATAAATTTCATTAACTTTTTAATGTTTTTCGGTTAACAAAAAATGAACTTAATTCAAGTAAAGTTCGATTATAAAATATTCAATTATTTGTGAAGACTTAATGAATTAAAAATTTGTGCTTCATCGTTTTTTATACTGAAAAAAACTTTATCAGTTAAAATTTAGGAAATTTTGTTTCATTTTATATATTACATATTGGTGTCATATGAAAGATCATAAAATTTAATGAATTTTGATATATTTTTCGAAAATTTTAGAAATCAATAAAAAAAGTTATACAAGTTTTTAAAAAATTGGGATATTATGACGTCAGCACGACGTGAGATTCACCGAATGAAACGGGTGGCCGTCCCTTTTCTTCTTTTTTCTCTTTTCACTTTTTCCCCTCCACTCAACTCACTCTCTATATTTAACCTCTTCCGTCCATTTTCCCACTTTTAATACTCATTTTAAACTACCACTACAGTCTACACATAATTAGGAGTCCAAAAATTTCACATTTAGCCATTTGGACTCCTAATACCCCAACACTCCAAATGATCTAAGGATGTTTTTATTTGGATGGTAATTTGTTGGTCTGGTTTGATCTAGTCTGGTCTGATAATGTATGGTCTCTTTGTATTTTTATAATTATCAAAGTCTGAGTCTGGTTTATTCTGATCTGGTCTGGTTTTGTCTAGTCAGGTCTGGTTTGATCTGATCTGGGACAGATTACAATCCATGTAAAAACATCCTAAGTGGGATACGAGCAACCATATACAGTAGTAGGGGTGTTCGTTGGGTCGAGTCAGTCGGTTTCGATCGATTTTTCATTTTTCCGGTTTTCAAAAACGTAGAATTGCTGACCTAACCAAGGTTGTTAAAATCGTAAATTTTGATCAAATCGGTGGAAGGTTTTAGAAATTGAATCGTAAATTTGAATCGCAAATCGTAAGATTCTGTGAAATACAATTAAAAAATATCTAGAATATATGAGACAACAAATTAACATTAATATGTCAACACATATGATAAAATCATTCATATATATTTTAAATAAAGTTAACAAAATGGATAATAACGTACCTAACATGACCAAGGCAGTATTTTACATATTCAAATGTCCAAAACAAGATAATAACGTAGCTAACATGTCCAAACTCCAAAACACATGCGCTCAATAGGCCATAGCCTCATATCACCACTACATCAAAATTTATACATTTGACTGCTTCCAGGAAGTTCTTCAATGAACACATGATCACCATATTCTCCATATTCATCATCTCCACAAGACCAGGAGCTTCCAAATTCATTTCTTTGTCAAAAATATCAAATATATCATCACCTATATATATATATATATATATATATGTGTGTGTGTGTGTGTGTGTGTGTGTGTGTGTGTGTGTGTGGAGCGGTTCCGGTAAGAACGGACTCCCAAGAGAGAAATGAGAATAAATCTGAACCATTGGATTATATTATGTGGAATTGAATTATACATTTGGTGAAACTGAAATGTGCATAAGATGATATTGAAATGTGCAGAATAAAAATTTAAACTCAAGTGTGCATTTGGTAAAACTGAAATGTGCAGAATAAAAGGTACAAAAATAACATCACATTGTACCTTTTATTCTGCACATTTCAGTTTCACCTAATGCACATTTCAATTTCACATAATGCACAATTCAGGTTCACATAATGACACTATATCGTACCCTTTGTGTTGCACATTTCAATTTCACCTAATGCACATTACAACTTCATCTAATGCACACTGAATTTCACTTAAAGCAAATCTAACGGTCTAGATTCATTCTCATTTTTCTCAAATAAGAACATGATCTTATGAGAAAAATGAGAATGAATCTGGACCGTTAGATTTGCTTTAAGTGAAATTCAGTGTGCATTAGATGAAGCTGTAATGTGCATTAGGTGAAATTGAAATGTGCAGCACAAATGGTACAATGTAGTGGCATTATGTCAAGCTAAATTGTGCATTAGGTGAATTTGAAATGTGCACTACATGAAACTAAAATGTGCAGAATAAAAGGTACGATGTGATGTTATTTTTGTACCTTTTATTCTGCACATTTCAGTTTCACCTGATGCACATGTGAGTTTAAATTTTAATTCTGCACATTTCAATATCATCTAATGCACATTTCGGTTTCACCAAATGCACAATTCAGATCCACATAATTCAATCCAACGGTCCAGATTCGTTCTCATTTCTCTCCTAAGATCCGTTCTTGCAGGAACCGCTCCATATATATATATATCAACACAGGAAGAATGAACATCCTTATTACTCAACATTATTAGAGAATTCTAAAACTAAATGCCCCATGTATTACTTACTCGATTCAATCATCTTTATAGCACTAGAGATATCTTCTTCATGAGAACATCCTTGAGTTTCATCACCCAACTCATTTCTTGCTTCTCTTCTTGCACTCATATCAAGCACATCTAACCACTCACTTGTTTCTAGAAAAACATGATCCTCTTTCTCTGTTATCCATATATCATTCGAGGGAATATCATCAAAATCTGCAGCATACTTATTAGATTGTAAGGAACCTGTCAAAGCCCTTTGTCGTTGTCTCTCCTTTAGTTTCAGGTTGTACATGACAAACACCAAATCATTCATCTTTTTTAGTGCAAACGATTCCTCCTCTTCGTATGAACCTATTTTATTGTATAGATACTATCAACAATTAATATTAAAATCATCAATGACAATGAATTTAATAACAATTATGTATATTATCATCTTAAATGCCCTCCAGTTTCGTTCACAACCTGAAGAGCTACACGTCAAACTTAATACTGCATTTTTTAGTTCTGGACATTCATCTCCAAATGAATCCCACCATTCAGCTGCATTATTCGATAAAAATAACTCTTACACATATTAATACAAACTATCAAGAACTGCATCATCACAAACAAGATTAAGCATGCAGCATTACAGAAACCTGGATTTTTTTTTCTTCCTTGTTAAAATTGCCATATCAGTTCCAAACAGTCCTTGTGCCCTTTTGAACTTGTCAATCTGCAGCGTAATTTCAAATCTTTCCATTTGATCAGCTATCATTCGGTCTATGCAACTGTACAAGCCTTTCTTAATCTCTACGGTGTCTTTGAAATCAGCAGCATAATGATATTGTGGGTTCAAATAATGAGCAGGTTAATGTAAGGGCGAATGGAGTTGATGTTCCCACCTTTGATCAATTTTTTTTACCCCGGAAGGCCAACCACCAAAACCAGTGGGGTATATGCCAGGGGACATATACCATAATTTTATTAAAAAACAAGTCCGAATACAAGAAGAGAAGTCATACGTTCTAAAAACAAACCAATAAGAAACAGCAAACAATTAATAAGAGAATCTAAAATGAGGAAGACCAAAAAGATCTAAATAGAAAGCATTCTTGGCATGGGCTGGAAGAGAACGGGCCTGAGTAAAAAATTGCCAGTCCAAGTGATGATTAGCAAGATGGTGCGCAACCCAGTTGGTTTCACGCAAAGAGCTCGAAAAAGAAACCCCATTGCCTTCCGACATAAGTAACACATCCCTAATTTGACAACGCCATCTACCTGAAACAGATCCGCCACACTTAATATACTTCAAAGCTTCTGAGGAGTCCATTTCCACCTGAAAATCAAAAAACCTTCTCGCAGCACCCAAGCCGTAGCATACAACGCGGATAAAGTTGCTATTATCATCTGACCACTCGCGTCTCTAAGAATAGCCCCCCCCCCCCCCTTCCGCGTATTGAGATGTGAAGTTGGCATCAACATTCAATTTAAGGGAAGTAGGTTCCTGCCATCGGATAGCTGCAATCAACGGTCTGGTGAAACGAAATGACTTAGGTATGAGCCTTTCCGCATATAAAAGAGCATCAATTTTATGCAGTTTATGCTTTGAGAAAGTGGAAAGCCAGGCCTGCGTGAATAGTTTAATCTGAGATATCATTTTATTAGAAGAAAGAATCGAGTCCCCCAAACCCCATACTTGATTCGCATACATTTTCCATATATGCCATCAAATAATACCAGGGAGATTAGTTTTGAAGACATCCACCAGCTTCTTAGAAGCAACCTTAAGCCACCAAGACATACAACCTTAAGCCACCAAGACATACAAAGCTTCCTGATAGAAACAGTATGACTTAGAAATGGGATTCCAAATATTCCCATGAAATAGTCCCGAATAAGTTTTGTCATAGGACAGTTCAGGAAAATGTGGTCTGTGGAATCAGCGTGAGCTTTACATAAAGGGCAAATAGAAGGGTTTAACACAACTTGAAATATGTATAAGTTGTCTGTGATAGGTAGAATACCCCTTAGCGTTCTCCATTGAATTTTTTTGACTTTCATTGGCAAATTAGTATTCCAGATCTGTTTAAAAGAAAATGAACTATTAAATTCCTCTCTTACACTCTCATAAGCAGATTTGAAAGAAAATATGCCATCTACTTCAGGTTCCCAGAAAATACCGCCATTAGAATTTACACCACAAAGGGAATTGGCTATAGCATCAATTGAGCATATTCTTCTCCATATAGGAGAATTAGAAACCTTAGGAACCATATTTTGACCTCTTGGATATCTAGCCTTGATAAACTGAGACCAAATAGAGCCTCATGTCTTCCATTTCCACCATAATTTAATGGTAAAGGCTTTCTCTATGTCAATGAGATTTCAGATCCCTAGACCCCCTTCTTCAGTAGGATAACAAATGTGGTTCCACTTAATCCAGTGGTGCTTAGGTTGATTATTAGAAT